GCTAAAATCATTTCAGATACGCTGATGATTGTACACTGGGATTCTACTACATTTGGAAGAGAAGCTCAGATCCCATTGTACTTGCATCAGCAAGATGTTAGGGAGCTTGCGTCGGGGAGAGAAGAAATTAATATTACATTCATTTAGCTGTGGATGATGTAAGTTTATGAGAACTTTCTTATATAATTCTTTTTTATCAAGTTACTTATATCATATTATTTCTTCATTTTAGGTATATGTTTGATGTTAGTAACAAGAAGGGGTTCAACGATGTATATGGGTTCATTGACCCCTCTATGACTCATGAAAGAAATAAATTTGATGATATCCAAACATACATCACCACCTGCTTTGGAATGGGGAAGCAAATATATTTTCTCCCTTATATACTTGGGTAAGTGAAGTTTGTTAACTTTAAAGTTTCATTTATTAATTTTGGTATATGATAATTAAGTTATTACCAATTTCAGGTGTCATTGGCAACTACTTGTGATCTCCATACCGAAGAACACTACTGTCTGGTTTTGTTCATTGCACAAGTCTCCTCCCAGCCCTCTTAGACATGTAGTAGATTGTTAAGAACCTCAATGTTTCAACTTTCTTTATTATATAAATGTATGCTAAAGCAATTTTTTTTAATAATTCCCTTGCAACACATATGATGTTATCTGCGAGATCTACTGCTACAGCTAAAAAGCTTGCATGGGTTGCCCTTAAGGTTTGGTATTTTAGTCCATACTTTGTTACATTTGGTTCCATTCCAATGACGTTACTTAACATTTTATAATTATGATCATATATTGTAGTGTAATAGACAAACGTGGTCATATGAATGTGGTTACTACGTCATGTTTTGGATGATGACCATTATTCGTGCACATTACACCAATGGATGGCAAACGGTAATATTTAGGTTTGAATTTTATTTTCTCTATAGTTTAGATTTCATATACACTAATTGAAATCATTGTGTTTTATGCAGAGATTCAATAAGACTGCTTCAATTCCAGAGAAGTCACTTCAACTCGTGAGGAAAGCACTGGCTAAATATGTAATTCAATTATATAATAAATAGTATGTAGTAGATATTAGGATATAGTAAGTTCTAAGTTTATGTTTCTAAGTTGTTTTATGCTTTTGTACATTATTATTAGTTTAACTTTGTACATTGCATTGATTTATGCTTTAAAGTTGATTTATGATTACATTGGATTGAATTATGCTTCTAAGAAGTTGATTTATGATTACATTGAATGTATTTATGTTTTAATATAATTTTCATTCAAAATATACGCTTCTGGATTATTCTGGACTGTTCTGGCTATAAAAGTATATGCAGGTCTGTTTCTGCAGTAGGGAATGTAGCAGAAACATACCTGATTTAAAAAAAAACAGGGGAATATGCCTCGATTGAGACCACAACAGAGGCAAAAAAGCACCCTACAACATCGATTTAGGTCACAGCCAAAGCAGAAAGGCTGGCGGATGAAACAAAAACAAAAAAGGGACATACTGCCTCGGTTAATGTCCCAACCGAGGCAGTAGAGAAGGACATACTGCCTTAGTTCAGAGGGAACCGAGGCATAAAGTCCTGCGAAAAAAAATAATAAAAAAAATTAATTATATACTCCTTCGGTTAAGGCTGAACCGAGGCAAATCCTACACTTTTATGCCTCGGTTCAACTTTTTGCCTCGCCTAGATATGCCTCAGTTCAGAACTGCTGCCTATTGACAAAAATAACCGCTATCATTTCCCCTGACTGCACTAGTGCCATCTGCAATGATTATATTTCTACAGGAGTATATGGTGTTGTAGATGAGGTTGGTTTGAAGTAGCTCGACAAGAGAGATGGGGAATAAAACTTGTCGAGGTTTTTATTATGTTATTTTATTTAAGTGTGTCTGATTTTATTGTTGTAAAAGACAATTCACATTTATTTTGATGTGGTGTACGAACATATGATATGTTTATGAATTGCTTCCGTGTTTTAATCTTTTTATAATATATATATATATATATATATATATATATATATATATATATATGATTGCACGTGTTATACATTTTGTACATTATTCTTTTATACATAGCATCTATTACGGGTGTTATACTGACCACATTATGAAGGGACCTGACCATAAACTTCTGCACCTTAGCCTCCTTGAAAATTATAATGCATGACCTTCTTTGCAAGATTGGAAAACAAAACAAAGTATTGGAACTCCTATTTACAAAATAAAATATTAAGTATTACATAAAAGAAGAACAAATATAATAGAAAGTGTTTCTTTCTACACCTCACCAGACTCACCCTACACCTTCCTATTTTTCTATTATTCCAACTGTGCCCCTGTGAAAATCTATTTTTGAAATGCGATCTAATAGCAGTTGGAAGTGCGATTCATACTGCGCCGCATTTAGAAATACGGCTGCCAGACTTGGAAATGCGGCTGTCACACTTGGAAATGCGACTGCTAATGCAGTTGTCGCACTTGAAAGTGCGGTTTCACTCTGCAACTTAAACTACGAAAGTGCATTGTTTTTTATTTGCTTTATTATATTTGATTGTTTTTTTAATTTAATTTGTTTTTTTATATTTTTTTATTAGTTTAGTTAAATATTTAATATTTTGATGTTAATATTTTGTAATTTGTATTTTTTTATATTTGATATTTATTTAAATTTTATTTGTAATGAAATTAATTTTTCTTAATTTCGAAATTTAAATTGGTTTGTTAAATTTTTGATTCTATAATTATTTATTGATTTTTTATTTTTCAATATTAATTATTATTTAATTACTTGTTGTATATTTTTTTAGTTTTTTATTCGTTTATTAATTTAAATTTAATTTGTTGTGTGTTTGTGGTTTTTTTTTAAATTTTTTTATTGATTTGTTAACATTTTTTTAAAATTTTAATTTTTATTATATTTGATATTTATTTAAATATTATTTATAATGTAATTAATTTGAAATTTATATTTGTTTGTTAATCTTTAATGTTTTTGAAAATATTTATTTATTTAAACAATATTTATTATGTGTAAATATTTATTTAAATAATATTTATTATGCAAAAAATCATTAAATTATTATTATATTTTTTTAGATTTTATTAAATAAATAACATAACTGTCAATTGGGAGGTGTAGACTGAAAAAAGTGAAATGCAAGAGAGCATCACTTTAGAAAACACCTCAACAGCACCACGGAAACAAGAATCACAATGACACTCACTACAAAAATACATTGAATTACCAATGGAATTTCACTGACGAAATTATTTCCGTCGATAAATGATTCATTACCGACGAATTTTGCTGACGGATGTAAAAAATGTAAAACCGACGGATATTTGTTCTTCGGTAATTATCGATGGACAAAATTTGTCAGTAAAGCCTTCGATAATTATTGACGGACAAAATCTGTCGGTAAAAGGAGCGGCAAAATTCCCGCCCATTTTTTCTCTCTCTACGCGAAGAAGACTATATTTTTCTATTTCACAAAACACTTTCGTCATTTTTTCTTTCCTCTCATCTCAAGACCATTTGTCACCTTCTCTGCAACCATTTTTCTCTCTCGTGCAACCATCTTCCCACACTACCACCGCTGCCGTTGGAGAGTGCCATCGTTGCCGTTGGAGAGCGCCACCGCTGTCGTGGGAGAACGCCACCACTGCCGTGGGAGAACCACGCGGAGCGCCATCGCTGTCGTTGAAGACCGCCACCACTACCGTGGGAGAGCGACACCGCTGTCGTTGGAGAGCGTCACTACTGTCGTTGGGGAGCGCCACCGTTGCCATGGGAGAACGCCACCACTGTCGTGGGAGAACCACTGCCGTCGGAGAACCATGCGGAGTAGTGCTGCCGTCGGGATGCTAAAAAACTAATTGGGGATTTTTCCCAATTTTAAGGTTTCTAAAACAATTGGAGAACTTAAGTAGAGCCTTTGATTTTGATTTTGGAATGAATTAGATTGTTGTTTTGATTTAGGAATGAAGAAAGTTTGATAAAAAAAATTAAAATATGAGGAAACTGAAGAAGGAGAAAGAGGAAGAAGATGAACCAGATCGAGATATTTACCGACAACTTTTTCCTTCGATAATTACCGACGAATTTGACCTTCGATAATTACTGACGGCCATAATAATCCGTCGATAAATATTATCGACAATGTTATTATCGACGGGCCAAACTCTGTCGGTAAGCCGTCGAAAAAATGACATTACCGATGGATTTTGGACGTTTTCGACGGATTTTAGTCGTCGGTAATAATTGTTTTTTTTGTAGTGACTGGGAAAATGGAAGCAGAAAATTCTCTCTCAAAGCCGAAATAAAAAGAACCACAAAAGCGAGCACAATCCAACAATAATTATAAAACCCGCAATAAAAAAAATAGCAACACACTCAATCAAACCATAATTTAGAAAAACGCAAAACAAAAATAAATAATATATTGTAAGAGAAGAAAAGGAATTCAAATAAGATCACGATACTTAGTATATATTATTTGAATTAGGGAAGACAAAGTACTCAGTTTTCATAATAACACGATGACTGATATTTAGGGAAGATAAAGATATAGATGAGAGACAAATGAATATTAGACAGATTTAAGAATTGTGGATGAAAAAAAAAACTCCAAATGCATGTCAACACACATTGTCATTTTCCTTCCAAAAATACTCTTAATGAATATTAAAGAAATGAGACCCACAGATGTATAATGTCAATCTATAAGTTAACTCATGCATAGTGATTCTTTTCACAATATTTTTTTATAATATTTTAAAATTATTTATGTGTTATTTTGTGATTAATTATATTGATGTTTATAATTATTATTATTATTTTGTGTAATTTTGAATCAATCACAAAATCACATCCAGATAATGTTAAAATATAAAAACAAAATTCAAATTATCATTATCTTTGTTTAACATGGCATTAGGTATCCTATTATTTTTGTTACGTGAGGAAGTAGTAATGGAGATCACGTGAATGTTTTCGGGACACGACAGACATTACAATTCGCAACGGTTACTTTGCGTGTCAATTGTGAGTGTTTCTCTCTCTTCCTTTTTTTCCTTTACCCAATATCAGAAACCTTCCAAACTGGTGTTAGGCGCAAAGAAAAATCACATACCCATTTGTGTTTTGCAATGGGATCTCGAAGAAAATCAGTGAGAGAGAAAGCTCAAGAAGAAGAGGAAGAGGAACAAACAGTGGTTTTGAAAACTACAAAAGTGGTGGAGTATTTGGTGCCAAAGATGTCAATTGAGCTTCTGTGCAAGTTTCCGGATAACTCTGCCTTTGACTTTGATTACTCTCAGAGCACAATATGGTCTCCTTTGCTTCCCACACCCTCCTGCAGTCCAATGGATTTGGATCTCATAACTCCAAAGAAGCTTTCCTATGAGATGGGTTTGGGAGCAAGGTGCAGTGTCAAGAATATGGGTTCAAAGCTTAGGAAAAAGTTCAATCTCAATCTTCATTTCATCAACAAACATGGCAAGAGCAAGAACAAGAAGCTGTCTTCTGATTTCTCACCGACACCCTTCAAGGGTGCTTGCAACCCCATCATGAACAAGGTGATTTTTGTTTGTGTTACATTTTAGTTTTGGTTTATGTTTCTTATTCCCATTCAGATTTTGCTTTTCGATATGTGGAGGTTGAGAAACATTTTCGAAATTTGAATATAGGCATTGTTTTCATGGACTCAAAGTTTGTGATAGATGCTGACAAAAGAAACACTGTTAAGCACAAAAAATAGTAAAGTATAATCACTCGGATGAGAAAAATGCAGCATAATGGAAGTGTGACGCATCTAGCAAACTAGCCAACTAACTATTTTTATTTTTTTAGGTAATTATAAGCTTGAGCTGATCATTTATATGGGTTTCTGGCATTTTTATTTATGGTAATGTTTTATGGAAGTTGAATTTTTTTTTTCCTTGATGTTGAGAAATCTGAAATTCTGAATAAATTTGTGAAAAAAGTTATATAATTACCTTCAAAAACCTTCTGTTATGAAATTATTTTCCATGTACTTTTTCATACAACTCTTGAGATTGTTTGGGGATGAAAGGGGCAAAATGTTGAATGTCATTATCTATTGGAAATAATTTGCGTTTTTGGTTTGATCCAGCGATGGGCAAGAGCACTGAAAGCTGCTTCTAAACAGTTCAAGAAATGGAAGACAACGAGAGACCCCATAGCTCATGTCATGCTACCAAAATGATGTTTTTTAAATATTTGCCGAATGTTTTTACTATTTCTTAATTGTGAGTTGGTTTAATTATTTCTTTTTTGTTGTTGCCATTCATTTATTTATTCAATTTAATTTCCACATTAAGAAACTTTAAGTATTAAGTGTTTCAGAGAATTTTGAAGGCTTAGAAAGTTTTCCACATCTCTTATTATGGGCTTAAGTCTTTTTGTGGAAGAACCAACATCTATTTAAGAAAAAATATTGTGATTTATGGACTCTTCAAAATTGCTCACCCTATAAACAGTATAAGAATGTTACTCTCGAATTTACTATGATCTTTTAGTTGGTTATGTTTTCATTGAATGTTTCCAAGCAACTAACAGTAATAGAGACATTGAACTCTTCTCGTTTTGGTTGTTCTGGTAGGTTAGAAAGCCAGAGTTACTTAGAAAATATCATTAATTAAAAGTCATCTTGACTAAACACCAAGTTACTTAAACAATAATATTAAAAGCTTTCTAAACGAAACACTAAATTACTTAAATAGTAATTCAAAAACAAAAAGCACCAAGTTATTTAAATGCAAACAAAGCATAAAAATAAGCTACAACTATGCGAAGTATGTTAAACACGTCATAAATAAATCCATGCTCAAACATCAATTACAAGTTATATAAAAAGTTCAAAATTTCTTTACAAAGATGGAGGGAAAAGTACAAAGTCCTATATGAAAAAGGTCAATTGATCAACGACCACAACAACAAACCCCTTAGCTCGAGCATCAACCTACTTGTTAACTTCAAAAATAACCTCGTCCTCAAATAATCTTTTCCACATCGATAACTAGGACATTATCAACCACATCCTTACCCATGTTAAATTGGCCTAGGTTCAAGTCAATGTAGAAGTGAACAACTTGCCTCTTGGCTTTCTCGAACCTACATCATAAGTAGCCAACCCACCAACAATAAGGATGACACTCTCCTCATTAAAACGAGTGACATCGACTTCAAGCCCAACAATTTTCTCATTCAAGCTAGTCATCTCCTCCTGAAGAGTTTCAACGCTCCTCTCGTTTTGTAGTTGCTTAAGCTCAAAGGATAGCTCAATAATACGCTCGAGATTTGCACTAGCTCCAAGTCTTTGCTCGTCAACTTTTGACTGAGCTCCTTATGTAGATCGACCATGTTGTCCCTCTCGATTTTCGTCTCAACAACCTTCAATTGTAAAGTTTTTAAGGCCTCCTCTATCCCATTCAATCAAGTAACCTTTATCCTTAGATTCGTGAGCTCCTCATCCTTTTTCTTATGATTCTTCTCACTTTCACCTAAGCAAGCAAGGAACTCGAGCCTCTCCTTCTCGGCTTCCATGAGTTTGGTCATCCATTGACTCTGTGGCCATGTAACTCTTGCATAAACACATAATGGCCATGCATCGAGCCATTGTGACCTTGCTCGGACCCATACAACTCTCAAAGCCAGCCTTCTTCAACAGTTCTAGGTCATAAGGATTGAGGAGAGTGTAGACAAGAGATTGCTCTCAAAGTCAGACAAAGGAAAAGAAGTACCAAAATCCTAAAAATACTCATAAAGATAAACAAAATTGTCATATTTCTCGTTAGGGCAGGAGAACACTCTATCATTAAAAAAGCAGGGGATGACAGTGAGCCTATTAGGACAAAAATCTAAAGTAGCCACCAGCTCGGCTAACCTTGTTAGTGTAGGTGGCGCGACCTACACCATAGACGGAGCACGACATAACCTTCTTACCCTTAGCTACATGATTCTTATTATTCTTCTTGGAAGCCACAACAGCAACCCCCGAAGAAGTTTATACAAGGGGCAACAAAGAGAGGCTCTAATGAGGAGACCCCAACATTAAGAGAAGGGAGGGCTTTCTGTAGAAGAACCCTGACCTATATGGGTGATATCTCTCCACAGCATAGACTGACCATGACCAACATTAAAAGAAGAACCAGAAGACAAGCGCAAAGGTTGTAGAAATGAACTGATGTATTTGGTATACTAGGTAGGGTGTCATATTATTGTTATTATTTCGCTAATTATCATATATATGATAAGTTATTATACTTGTTGATATTTGATATTCTTTTTATCTATCAATTTTACAACAAACCTCGTAGGGCCCAGGAACTTTATAAATACACATGGTATTTCACTAGGAAATACACATCTCATTGTCACTTTCTTTTACTAAAAAAGATTAAAACTCTTTTAACTCACTTGAACATTGAGAGTCTTTTGCAAATGGATCTTCTTCTGTGTTCCAACCCTTAAGAACATATGTTAGGATTCTCTAATCCATTCAGATCTTGCCATATATTTGAAGGTAGGATCTGGGTAAGAACAACTAAAATTCTACAATCACATATCACACATTCAAGATCTTCATTTTTGTCTCTTGCATTTGTTCTCATGATATGTGAAGGACGATGCTGACAAAAAATGGAACATGTTCTTACTTGGGACTTGAGTGTGAATCTCGAGACAAGTGACAAAATCCTAGTGGTGGTTTGTAGAAGGTTTTGTTGTTAGGGATGGACCTTTATGTCGTTCCAAGAATGAGGAGATGCACCTGCAAAACTCTCCGACACTCAAGTGAGTAAGAGAGTTGGATTATTTGTATAATCAAGTGTATTAATGTTATGAGTTGAGTATCCCTTAAGAAATGCTAGTTATATTTATAGGATTAATTATGAACTATGAGTCTATCTTATATCATAATAGTACTTATCTAGGAGTATAATAATAACATAATAAATAATAACAAAAGAATAAATAATAACTAAAAGGCTAAACTACTGAAATTTAGTCCTAAGAGGAGTGCAACCCAAATAGGTGTAGATTTGAGTTTTTTTTTATGATAAATGGGTGTTGTTGAGCCATATTCCTAATATGTCTATTGGATCCATTACAAACAAAATACATTGTCTCTATATATAAAAAAAATATAAAAACTCAAAATTGAATAAAAAATTATAGAAGCTAAATTATTAATTAAATAATTTATTTGACCGACACAATCTAAATAGCTTAGTGAGGGAAGAAATTATATTCAATCAAATGAGACACGATTAAACAAAAACAAATATTAAAACAAAAATTAAAATAAAAAATCAAAATAATAATTAAACCTAAAAGTTTGACGAATGTGACGTGATTCCGTGATATATGTTTCAATGCACGTAACAAAGAAATATTACGAATAAAGGAATTTAGATAATCCCATAGGACTAAGAAATAGTGTTTATAAGTTCGAACTCAAATTAGCAATTACATAGATTTGATATACTAATTTCTATACATTTTTATATTTTAAAAATGATGTCAAACTTATTGGTTAAAATTACATTATTTAATAAGTTAAAAATAACCATTCAAATTAATAATGTTTTTAAATCCCTATATTTTTACTACTTTATTATCTTTAAAATATTTGTATGCGATATAGTTATTTTATAGATTTATTATTTTTTTTATTGAACATGATTATTTGGCAGAAGGTTTTAAGCTCAAAAAGAATAAAAATACAAAAAACTATTTTTATGTTCTAAGTTTTTATTTCATCTTTTAACTTCTTAGTAGCTTTTAAGTTGAAAAAAAAGTTATTCACATAAAGGATAGAAGATACAAGAGAAAAAAAACAGTAAAAAGAAAAGAAAGATAACCTCTGTATTCCGGTTTTTAAATTATTTTCGTTTATTATTCTTTATTTTGTTTTATTCCTTCAACTTTTCTTCAAATTTTCACCTATTTTCTTCGTATCGGAGCACCGTTCCTTTTAGCGACAGTAAGTGGCGTCAAGAAATGGGTCGCTGCCGTGCTGCGTCGGCCACGGGCCCCGCCGACGATGACCCTAACCACAGGTTGCTTTCTTTGTTTATTACTATAAGCGCTTTTGTTTCCGTTTTCGCGTTTCCAACTTGCTCACAGTGAGATTAATCAAGCTTGGTGACAAGGGGAATTATTTACAAAGACAGGGTTTACAATGTCGTGTTATGGAACGTGCTTTGCAACTCTCTTTAATGCTATGCTCGTGCTTTTTTTCTTTTGTTTCAATTTTGACGTGTGGACTTTGTTACCATGAAATTAGTCAAGCGTTAAGTTCGATGGTCAACTTAAATTAATCGAGGGTTTCAAGTTTTTCACAGACTTGATTGACTGGACTTAGGAGGTATCATTTCATGTTCTAACAATATAGACAGTGTATTGTTTAATTGATGATGAAGAAGATTTGGATGTACTGGGATCAGGGTTTGAGTTTGGAGTGATTACACACTATATTTATTAATCAAACTGAATTTTCTTGTTGTTTTGAATTTGACTCAGGTCTCCACCTGGCTATAATACGGACAATGTTAAATTTTGGGCTTACATTTAGGTATTTAGTAGCGAAGAAAATTCAATCAATGTGTTAAAGGTTCTTCTTAGTTGCAGGTTGTTAATATTCATGTATCAAAACATTTTTGTGGTAAAATATATTGGCAAACATAAATGTAAGGAAGCGATTTAGGAGTATCTATGATCGTAGTTGAAAATGTTGAGGAAATATGGATTTGTAGTTTGTTTTTTGTGCATCAGCTGAGGCATACATGGGCACAGGGTCAAAATTTTGAATGCAAGGAAATCCTTAAAAGCTTTTGTCGATAAGATGCTTGTTTTAAGGTTGATGGAAATGAGGAAAAAACTGGAAGTTCTACACATTGTTAGTTTTTTTTTTGGCTGGCATAAAAGATAAATGTATACTTCTTTTGGTCCTAGAATGATTTTATTTCGTGGTAGATTTTTGTTTGTGGGCATGCCCATGGATTCATTGAAATTCTTCTTGAATGCTTCCTACTAGCTGCTACATATTTTTGTTGTAATGTTGTTTTTTTCATTGCTTTCTTAGGTTAAAGAGAAAAAGGGCCGCTTCAGAAAATTCAGAAACTTTAGCTACAGGTGATTTTGTTATGATCACATCACAAGGGTGCCCTTCTTTCCAAAAGGTCCATTAACATATTCTTTAACACCTTTTTCTAAATGTGGTAGTCCAAGGGATAGCTAATAGCAAGGTATCTCTTTATCACTGTAATTATTGTAACAAAGATATTTCGGGGAGGATTCGCATCAAGTGTGCTGTCTGTCAAGATTTTGACCTCTGCATAGAGTGCTTCTCCATTGGTGCCGAGGTGACACCACACAAAAGCAATCATCCATATCGGGTTATGGTAAACTTCTACACATTGTTCCTTTCCATATTTATTGTACTACTGTAACATAATTTGCATCTCATATTTTTCTAAGATATTGGCTGTGAATTCTAAAATTGGTGAAACTAAGAACAAAAGACTAAAGAGCTCTTCTATCATCAATTTTCTGAATATCTCAACAGGTATTTATGGTACAGAGATTAGAACCAGTTATGGTAACTGCTAGAACAGAGTTGACAGTTATGATATCAGAAAAGTCAACTATAATACCTGAAATGACTGCTTTGTTAACAAACTGCTGCTGACATAACTAATTACAGTCTGCAGAGACTGGTCTATTACTAACAACAGAAGCTACAACACTTAAGCTAATGTACAGTCAATTATACTCTATTATTTTTTGTTTTTTATTTATTCGAAGGTGATAGTACCAATAAAACAGTAATGAAAAGGAAGAGATAATATGTGTATTATTTCAATAGGTTTAATAATTTTCAAGATCCCTATTTGTGCAGATTTGTCTCAAGTTGATCCTTCAGTTAAATTTTAACTCAATTAGGTTCTTGTTTGTGCAAAATTGAATCAATTGAACCCTTGTCGTTAATTTTAGTAAACGGCGTTAAGAGGTCAATCACGTGGCATGTTGACTTTGCAAATTTTAAACATGTGGCACGTTCTGGGTATTAGTGACGTGGGTTTTGTATTCCTTTCCTCCCAACTCAAGGGTTTGAAGAAGGGGAGACCATAGCTTTTGGGAATCTTCTTGAGGGGAAGCTTGGTGTCTGAAGCAGCCATTGACAATGGTTGATGAAGGTTGAACAGCGACTCGAAGAAGGATGGCGGCTAAGGCTTCTGAGGAAGAGAGGTTGAAGCTGGTTTTTGTTGGTGATTCCGAAGCGCAATCTTCCACTGATTCCCTTCTTTCCCACCCTCCCAAATTCCTCTTCTGCTGTTTCATTGTAATCCTAACTAAGACAAGATTTTAGCATAAAGCAATCAAATATTTAGCTGTAAATTTGTAAAGTCATCACTGTGCTCTAGTATAAGAACCTAAGAACATAAGGGCAAAAAGAAAAATTGAAGGGCATGTCCCCTACCTTTGCCGACACAAAGCAGCTGGTCAACAAAAAGATCAAAAGCTTCACACTCTGGTGTGTCAAAGGGATCCAAGCATTCACTACAAGATGGTGACAAATTTCCAAATTAAAAAACTGAAAGGTTAAAGAAATGACAAAATTATCACTACCTTTCAGTTAATTTCAATGAGTAGTGAAATTGGAAGGAGTGAATGGAATAATGATGTTGACGATGGCGGTACTTTGGCGCGAAAAGCAACTTTCATGCTAGCGGCGGAGCAGTTAGGGTTCAGTCCAAGCACGGTGTAAGCCGAAGAAGAGGTCATAGGACCATCATCGTCTAACTGCAACTCGCTCTTGCTTTCTTCTTCATAAACCCTGGAAAACCGCTTCTTCCAAAATAGAGAGACGTAGGTATCGTTTTAAAGCTTGTGATGTTCATTTTCGGTAGTCAGAACAACAAAATAATGGTTCCAATTTTTGTTTTTGCAGATGAAAAAGAAATTGAAGGATTTGGGGAAGGTTTAACGGACATCCACTTGTTTGGAGGCTTCTGAATATAGATTCAAATGTGATTTGTGGCTATGGAGAGCTCGAATGCGATTTAGGGTTCGAAAGAGTTTTTCGAATTGGGAATTTTTCTGGATTAGAGCTATTTTGCGTTTGATTTCCAGGTGTAAGGCGCTATGCTCTTTGATGAAATTGGTTTGGGTTTTCTGCAATTATGTCTGGTGGTGTTTCATGAGGCTTGCATGGTGGCTATCTGTGCGAAGAAGATGATGCTTTGAAGCCAGTGGTCGACGCAAGGAAGCGCGACATGATTCATGGTGGCGGCGACATGATTTTAATGCCACCAAGTCACTGCCACGTGGTTAACATTTGCTATATCAGCATGTCACGTGACTCAAAATATAACGCCGTTCATTCAAATTAACGACAAGGGTTCAATTGATTCAATTTTGCACAAACAAGGACCTAATTGAGTTAAAATTTAATTGAAGGACCAATTGAGACAAATATGCACAAACAAGGATCTTGAAAATGATTAAACCATTTCAATAACCCCAAAACAGAGAGGTTTAGGGTCCTCCCCTCCTTACAAGACCAGTCCATAATCTGTCCTCCCTTTCCCAAAGATGTTTAAAAGATATATAATAATTCAAAAATGTTAGTTAATGATATTTTCAGGTGACGTTGGTCGGGACTATTTTATGGCCAAAGTCTGTCAAGGTATTTTTAGCTAATGTCAACAAGGGTTATTTTGTTTTATGGATATTGACTAAGGTTAAATTTAGTTGGCTACTATTATTTCTGCTAACATCAATTAGAGTTATATTTTCAATGTCATTGGTTGGATTTAGTTTGGTGAACTTCTAGACTGATATAGGCTGAAACAGTCTTAGACGACATTAGAAAAAAGAAATCCTAACTAACTTTCAACAAATGATATTGACCAAGAAAAATCCCTATAGACATTGACCAGTGAATAACCCCTACAAATGTCAATTGAGAAAAACCTGACTAAAGTCGTTTGAAAAATAACTTTGGCCTACATTGACAGACTTAAGATTAAAAAAGAGAAGAATATATTTTGGAGGGCTTGAAACACCCTTCTTCTTCGTCTTATATTTATAGGAATAGAACTCTTAAGACACTAGAGGACAACTCAGATATAATGGAATACAACTCTGATAAAGGAAACATTTATGTTAGAAGAAATAAAAGGGACAAACAATTTTAACTATCTATGTGTAGGTTTTGTTTTGCAGACTATTATAAAAGTCTGTTTAGGAGGTGGTTTTCGGTAGTTTTTTATTCACTGTAATTTCTATAAAGAGACTTAGGTGAGGAGAGTTTGGTCCTGATAGGGTTTTAAGAGTATATAAGAGGAGGAAAAGAAATTAATTAGGAGGTTGTAGGTGGTTAGGAGGCCTGTTGGATAGTTAGATGTTGGTCAGATGGTTGGGTAGCCTTTATAAGAGGGCGGGGGGTGTCTGGTGACAGACATGTTTTGATAATTCTTTTGTATAGACAGGACCATTGCATCCTGTGTGAAGGGAAAGTGTTCTTGAGAGTGTTTGGACGTGTATTGTGTATTCTTTGATTGCAAGAGTAATAAACTGTTCTTTTCCAGTAATCTAAGTGTGTGAGAGTGTATCTTTTGAGAGTGTTTGATTTCTTACCAAAAGAAATCTATCAAATTGGTCTGACCTGCCGTATTTGAGGCAGTGCGTCTTAGTTTTCTTTTGCGACATACTGATATACAGCAAGACATGGGAAGATCATAAGAGTCATCTCAAACAGGTGCTGGGAACATTGTGGCAACAACAGGTTTTTGCTAATAAGAAGTGCAAATTTGGGAAGAAACAAATCAGAAATGAATTTGAAATCTGGTTTCTTGTCTCCAAGAAACCTAACAAGGACTTTGAATTGATTATGTTAGATTGTTTATGGGGACTTAGAATTTGTAATAAGCTTGATACATATGAATTTATATGCACAAACTTAACGAGGAGTTCACAATATCTAACAATATCTAACAATATCTTATATTTACCATATTTATGTGTATTTCCTGAATTATTCTTCATTATAAATATATTACCTTATGCGTATTTTACACACAAGGAGAATTCCTCCTATATCTAATCTTCATTATATTCAATAGATATTATAGAGAAAAGACTAAAATTTCAAATTCTTACATTTTAAGAAATTTGAAAATTTTGAAGAAATCAAATTACTCATAAATTTCTATAATTTCAAATTGTCTATAAAAAAGAAATATCCTCTAAAAGTTCTCTATCTAGAACATTATTCAGCAAATATTCAATCACATAGACTCTGTTATGAAGGATTGACAAAATCATCTTTCTTGTGTATGGTGCTTGTCTTTCCTTATAATAAAATCTTTTTTCATTAAAAAGAGTAGTAGTTTGCTGCTTGACAAATTAGATTATTAAGAGTTTGTTGAATAATTATTTAGTTGGGGACACTATTGCATAATGATAACAACTTTCATTTGTAAACTTCTGCGTTATTGCATAAATAATAATAGCAATATTTTTCTGAATGCACATGATCTTTTTTCCTTTTTCTTACTTTGTGGTTTTCACAAGAAGATAAAACTGAATGAGAGTTCTCAGCTTTCTTGATATGCATGCTGTCATAATAATATTCTTGTGATAATAGTAATTTAAATTTCTTGAGTATGAAGGTTGCAACATATGTGCATCCAATGTCAAGGTCAATATATTGATGTATTAATTTAAATTTTAAAGCATTTTCTTTTTGGTACAGGATAATCTATGTTTTCCACTTATATGTCCAGATTGGAATGCAGATGAAGAGATCTTACTTCTAGAGGTATGAGATTTGAGTATGGGGAACACTCCTGTTTTCTTTTGCTTAACATTAAATTGTATCCTAAACCATTTTTGTCTTTTTATCTTTCATATCACTTGTTATATAAAATTGTGTTTCTAAACAATTTTTTCTCATAGGCTATTGAGATGTATGGATTTGGGAATTGGAATGAAGTCGCAGAATATGTTGGAACTAAAAACAAATCTCGATGTATTGACCACTATAATGCTGTATATATGAATTCACCATGTTTTCCTCTCCCAGTAAGACAATTTGAGAACTATGTCATGAATATTATACATGCAACCATCATTTGAATGCTTAGTGTAATTGTTCATATGTGCTCCCAGGATTTGTCTCATGTTATGGGAAAGAGTAGGGATGAACTATTTGCCATGGTTAAAAGACATGAAGCCAAAAAAGGTTTGTTTCTCATGAACTGAAAATCATAATTTTTTGAGATTTTGCATGCAAGACTTGATTAGTTTGTTTCTATTGTAAGTAAGACATTAAATGCATTACTAGAAGTTGGTAAAATATTAAATGTATTACTAGAAGCTAATGAAAGTTGTTAGAAGATTCTAGAGATCTCTTTGTAATTATTACTTTAGGGTTAGAGTTCTGAATATATAGACTCATGTAAAGTTTCAAATGAATCAATTTGAGTAAAAATCTCCTTTTTTTCATATTAATCCTTTCAAGTTGGTATCAGAGCTTTCGATCTTGGGAGCCCTACGTATGGATTTCTTCTCTATCGTCTTAGTTAAATTTATTTTTAGGATTGCCTGAAGTGAACCCAACTCGAAGGGCAAGCATTATCTCTTCATTTTGTTGAAAAAGCCTTGCTAGTACTTTTAGAATAAAAAATGGCTTGATTAGACTTTTTGAGGATTAACCCTTTAATTTAATTAAGTGAATGATGGCCTAGGGGAAGAGTGCTTTATGAATAGAAGTATGATCTCCTAGGCTTTGTCTGTATCCCAAAAAAACCATTGTTTTTGTAAATCTTCCAAACCATTCTCTAGGGGATTGCTTAAGATCATACAATGCTTTCTTTTGTAGGCATACCTTGTTTTTTTTCATTTTTCACTTCAAAACCTGGGGGAATCTCCATGAAGAAATGCATTCTTCACATCCAACTGGTGTAAGTCCCATCTAAAATGAGCAGCGAAAGCGAGAACAACTCAAATTGTATTCAACTCAAATTGTATTCATCTTAGTCAATGCCATAAGTTTGGGTATATCCTTTTGCTACCAATCTATCTTTGTATCTTTCTATTGTCCCATCTGCTTTATGTTTCACTGTGAATATCCATCTACACCCTACTGCCTTCTTGTCCCTTGGCTTATCAACAATCTCCCAAGTCGAATTTCTTTCTAATGCATTCATCTCTTCTTTCATGGCTTGATTCCAATGTTCAAGTTTCATGGCCTCCTAGATTGAGGTAGAATTTCTATGGCATCAATGGCAGCAATAAAGCTTCTATGCTTATCAGAGAGATTGTTAATTCAAACATAGTGAGAAATAGGATATTTAACACATGATCTTCTTTTCTTTCTCAATGCAATAGGTAAATCCTTAGAAATACTTACCTTCTCATTGTTATCTTTAGGGATCCTCACCTTCGAATTAGACAATTTTTCTTGCTTGAGAGCCGAAGTGGGTTGTTTTCTTCTTTCATATTTTTTGCCAAAAAAATTTGTCTTTTTCCTCTTCTTCTTCTTCTTCTTCTTCACGGTGGACTATGGTAGCTTCATTGTTTAAATCTTGGGCATCCTACAAAGGCAAACATGGTAATGACAAGAAGGAGAGTTCATTCACTTCAAGTGCTTTCTCCCCCTAAAGTGGTGGACTGATATAAAAGGATTGTTTCATGAAAGGTGACATCCATGGTGATAAAGACGCGACGACTCTGAGGATGATAACATTTGTACCCTTTTTTATTAGAAGGATACCCAATAGAGACACATTTTAGAGCTTTGGGATCTAATTTACTATGGTTAGGATGATGAGAGTGAACAAAAACAATACATGCAAAGACTCCACTAGGTAGACTTGTTGTTAGGGGAGAAAAAGGAACAAAAGACAATAGATACTCTATAAGACTAATGCCATTTAAGATACGGGCCGGTAACCTGTTGATGAGATATGTGGCAGTTAACACAACTTCTCTCTAATAATTTTTGGAACAAACATTTGAAAAAGAAGAGCTCTAGTTACTTCGACTCTGAGGATGATAACATTTGTACCCTTTTTTTATTAGAAGGATACCCAATAAAGACACATTTAAGAGCTTTGGGATCTAATATATGGTTAGGATGATGAGAGTGAACAAAAACAATACATCCAAAGACTTGACTAAGTAGACTCGTTGTTAGAGGGGAAGAAGGAACAAAAGACAATAGAGACTCTATAGAACTAATGCCATTTAAGATATGGGTCGGTAACCTGTTGATGAGATATTTGATAGTTAACATAGCTTCTCCCCATTAATTTTTTGGAACATACATTTGAAAAGAAGAGCTCTAGTTACTTCAAGAAGATGGGGATTTTTTCTTTATGCAACCCCATTTTGTTGAGGGGTGCTTACACATGTTAGTTCACGAACAACACCATTACGAGACAAAAAATTGAAAAATTCATAATTCACATATTCAGTACCATTATCGGACCTGATTCTTTTTGATATTTTTTTCAAATTGATTTTGGACAAGACGGAAATAATTAACAACGATTTGGAAAACATCTAATTTATTTTTCATAAGGTATGTCCATGTGACACGGGTATAATCGCCAATAAAGGTAACAAACCATTTGGCTCCGGAAATAGAATATGGGACAGGTCCGCCAACATTAGAGTGAATTAAATCAAATGGAGAAGTACTCATTCTATTACTAATAGGATAAAATGCACGATGGTGTTTTGGCAACTGACAAATATCACAATTAAAAGACTCAATAGACTCCTTGGTAAACAAATGGGAAAATAAGGACTTGATAAGATTGAATGATGGATGCCTAAGCCTTTTATGATGTAACCATATTTTGGAATTTTCCCACGTCTCAGATGTAACTGGTTGACTCATGATTTTTGTTTTTCTTTTGTCATTAGACTCCAACAGATTCTTTCATAAACATAAACATCCTAGCATTAAGGGAATCCACCCTTTAAAAGCTAGTTGTTGAAGGAGAGAACCAGATATACTTAAATCCTCTACTAAGCATCTCATGAATGTGGGACATTGAGACTCCTATAATATTCAAGTCCCTATCATTGTTTTACAGTTTAAAACCCATTACATGTTATTCCTGCAGATTTTTCTCTAACTGCTGAGCTTATGCTGAAAGAAGAAGCTCCCTTCTCTGATGTATTAAGGTAAAAGTCACCCTTTTAACTGTGATTATTTGAATCAATCATTTCTGAATCTGCCAATACTTTGGTGTAACATCTCAGTTATGAAGAAACAAAGGAGGCAGAAATTAATAATCTAGAAATCTCCAGATTAACCTCAGGTACTATCATATAGTGTGAGAAAAGTCTGTTTTTATCATTTTGTATTGAAATTTTTATTGAGTATAATTTATATGAATGAAATGGGTTCAGCATGTGGAAAATCTTGCTCAAGTACCGTTAAGAAGACTTCCAACTTGAGCCAAAGTAAAGAAGTCAAGGTTGAAGGTATGTTTTCTGATGCTGTATGAATACTGCCTCTTCATTTTGTGTTGAGTTAGTATTTCTTTGGATATATTTGTTGCTCTTGTTTGAATGTAAACATTGGCTAGTTTAGAAATTTTGAATGACTACCTCTAAACCCGTAATTTGGACTTCATATTTTAAAAGTATTTTATCAATTTTATTAATTTATTATTCTACTATAATTTGTGCATTGGGTGATAATTATTTAGATCAACAAAATCAGGAGCTTGTGTTTCTAGAATAATGATTATTTCAGGACTGATTTACTCTACAACGAATTTGATGTCACCAAAACCCTCAACCAATATGAAAATATTTCACATCCCTAATTGGGGGTTTGACATAATTTCTCACCAAATTTAAACCTCACCAAACTGTGGGATAATAAAACTTTATACACTGACAACATTGCTTTGGGCTTGAAAGTTAAAGTTGTTAGCTGAAGAAGCCTGAATGGTTCATATATCTTTAACACTTTTTTTCACACAATAACCCTTTGTTCTAGAAGCCAATTGTGCTACTTAATAAATTGTTTAAAATTAAGGTTGTAGACTGTTAGTAAGTGGGTTTACGCCTAATTCCATTTCGTGAAGTCAACTTGTAACGTGAGGTTTGCCCTCATTTATATATTGTAATATGCTTTTATTCCTAGTCGATATGGAATCTCTAACTGGTCCCTAACATAGAGGAATGAACATCTCGAGCATGGGATTAGATATTTATGGGTAGTCTAACAAGAGCCCAATAATGGTGGCATTAATAGCGTAACGAATTTGACTACCATAGGTTTGAATGACTATGTTGTTGTGGAATATAGTAAAATTAGGTATTAGATTAATCTTCTTTGTACAAAAAATACACATAGCATAATATATTTATAATAATGAGAATGTGGACTAAGTCGAAATACAAATGAATATGTAAAAATAACATAATTAACATAGAAACTATGTTTCCCTAATTAACATAAAAAATGCAATTTATCTAACACTCTCCTTCAAGTTGGTGCATATAAATCGTATGTACCAAGTTTGTTACAAATATAATCAATTCTTGGTCCTCGTAAAGACTTAGTGAAAATATCTGCTAGCTGATCATTTGAGTTGACGAACTTAGTCTTGATATCTCCAGATACAATCTTCTCTCAAAGGAAATGACAATCAATCTCAATGTGTTTGTCCTCTTATGAAAGACATGATTCAAACTGATATAATATATGTGCCATTTCAGTGATATCTTCAAATTGTAACTCTTTAAGCAATTGCTTAAGTTAAAGAAGTTAAGAAGTGGTTGAGGTAAGCTCTATATTCTACTTCTGCACTAGATCTTACCACAACACTTTGTTTCTTACTCTTCCAAGAGATCAAGTTACCACTAATGGAGACAAAATACCCAAAAGTAGATCTTCTATCAAAACAAGATCTTGTCCAATCATCATTTGAATAGCGAACAACTTTTGTAAGGTTATTGGAACCATATAACAAACCTTTTCCAGGAGATTATTTAATGTAATCTAATTTATGGATGATTGTATTCCAATTATCTTTACATGGGGAATTGAGAAATTGGTTCACCACACTGATTGCAAAGGAAATGTCAAGACAAGTAGCTGCAAGCTAATTTAATTTCCCAACCAATCTTCTATACTACTCAGGATTTGAACTAGGCTCCCTTGATTTAATAGGAGTTCTGATCTACGATCCATGGGTGTGTTAATAGATTTTGAATTCATCAACCCAATTTTCTCCAAAATATCTAATGCATACTTCCTTTTAGATATAAGAATACCATTGTTGGATTGTGCTACCTCAATACCCAAGAAATATCTGGGTTTGCCAAGATCTTTGGTATGAAAATGGTGGCAAATATGTTGTTTCATCTTGGAGATGTCATCTTGTCATTGCTTCTGAGAACAATGTCATCAATATATATTATCAAATAGACACATCCAACTCTTGAATAACGGTAAAAGATTGAATGATCTGCCCCACCCTGAGTCATACTAAATTGTTGAACAATGCTAATGAATTTTCCAAACCAAGCCCTAGGAGATTGTTTTAGGCCATATAAAGATTTGCAAAGACGATAATATCCAAAAGACTCCCCTGCACAACAAATTCGAGAGGTTGCTCCATTTGAATTTTTTCCTGGAAATCTCCATTTAGGAATATAACGTATACCTTTATAGAGGACAATTGGAAGGTCAAATTCAGTTGTCAGAAGAGACCAAATAGTTGGCATTTGAAGTGATTCATTTGGTGGTTGTTGGGAATGATGTCTTCAACTATAAACTTGAAGTGGTGGTGGAGGAGAATTTGACATTGGATTAGGCACAACGGGAGGATCACAGACAACATGAATATTAACTGTAGTAGACAGAGACACATCTAAAGAAAAATAAGATGACCCGCTAAAGTAAAAAGAAGACTCATTAAAGGTGACATATACTAAAATAAAATAACAGTAACAGAATGAGAGAAACACTTATATCCTTTTTGTGATCAAGTGAATCTGAATAAAAACATATTTGTATGATCCAGGAGATAACTTATCAAGACCAGTACAAAAATTATAAATAAAACATGTAGACTCAAACTTTAATAGGTAAAGGGATGTAGAGGTGCATGAGGAAATAAAATATAATGCAGAATTTTGTTATTTAAAACCGAAGAGGACATGCATATAATAAGATAACGTGTGTAAGAAGAACATCACCCCCAAAGATGTTGAGGAAGCTCACCGTGAATTAAAAGTGTGCCAGTTCTTTCAACAATATGTCCATTCTTGTGCTCAACCACTCTATTTTGCTGAGGTGTATAAGGACATGAAGTTTGATGAAGAATGCCATGAGAAATCATAAAATGTTTAAAAGAATGGAAAAATATTCACGACTATTATCACTTCAAAGTTTGAATAGAAATCAAAAACTGAGTTTTAATTTCATTATAAAAGGATTGAAATATAGAAATTAACTCAATGATTTTTCATTAAAAACAACCAAGTGCATATGNTTTTTTATTAGAAGGATACCCAATAAAGACACATTTAAGAGCTTTGGGATCTAATATATGGTTAGGATGATGAGAGTGAACAAAAACAATACATCCAAAGACTTGACTAAGTAGACTCGTTGTTAGAGGGGAAGAAGGAACAAAAGACAATAGAGACTCTATAGAACTAATGCCATTTAAGATATGGGTCGGTAACCTGTTGATGAGATATTTGATAGTTAACATAGCTTCTCCCCATTAATTTTTTGGAACATACATTTGAAAAGAAGAGCTCTAGTTACTTCAAGAAGATGGGGATTTTTTCTTTATGCAACCCCATTTTGTTGAGGGGTGCTTACACATGTTAGTTCACGAACAACACCATTACGAGACAAAAAATTGAAAAATTCATAATTCACATATTCAGTACCATTATCGGACCTGATTCTTTTTGATATTTTTTTCAAATTGATTTTGGACAAGACGGAAATAATTAACAACGATTTGGAAAACATCTAATTTATTTTTCATAAGGTATGTCCATGTGACACGGGTATAATCGCCAATAAAGGTAACAAACCATTTGGCTCCGGAAATAGAATATGGGACAGGTCCGCCAACATTAGAGTGAATTAAATCAAATGGAGAAGTACTCATTCTATTACTAATAGGATAAAATGCACGATGGTGTTTTGGCAACTGACAAATATCACAATTAAAAGACTCAATAGACTCCTTGGTAAACAAATGGGAAAATAAGGACTTGATAAGATTGAATGATGGATGCCTAAGCCTTTTATGATGTAACCATATTTTGGAATTTTCCCACGTCTCAGATGTAACTGGTTGACTCATGATTTTTGTTTTTCTTTTGTCATTAGACTCCAACAGATTCTTTCATAAACATAAACATCCTAGCATTAAGGGAATCCACCCTTTAAAAGCTAGTTGTTGAAGGAGAGAACCAGATATACTTAAATCCTCTACTAAGCATCTCATGAATGTGGGACATTGAGACTCCTATAATATTCAAGTCCCTATCATTGTTTTACAGTTTAAAACCCATTACATGTTATTCCTGCAGATTTTTCTCTAACTGCTGAGCTTATGCTGAAAGAAGAAGCTCCCTTCTCTGATGTATTAAGGTAAAAGTCACCCTTTTAACTGTGATTATTTGAATCAATCATTTCTGAATCTGCCAATACTTTGGTGTAACATCTCAGTTATGAAGAAACAAAGGAGGCAGAAATTAATAATCTAGAAATCTCCAGATTAACCTCAGGTACTATCATATAGTGTGAGAAAAGTCTGTTTTTATCATTTTGTATTGAAATTTTTATTGAGTATAATTTATATGAATGAAATGGGTTCAGCATGTGGAAAATCTTGCTCAAGTACCGTTAAGAAGACTTCCAACTTGAGCCAAAGTAAAGAAGTCAAGGTTGAAGGTATGTTTTCTGATGCTGTATGAATACTGCCTCTTCATTTTGTGTTGAGTTAGTATTTCTTTGGATATATTTGTTGCTCTTGTTTGAATGTAAACATTGGCTAGTTTAGAAATTTTGAATGACTACCTCTAAACCCGTAATTTGGACTTCATATTTTAAAAGTATTTTATCAATTTTATTAATTTATTATTCTACTATAATTTGTGCATTGGGTGATAATTATTTAGATCAACAAAATCAGGAGCTTGTGTTTCTAGAATAATGATTATTTCAGGACTGATTTACTCTACAACGAATTTGATGTCACCAAAACCCTCAACCAATATGAAAATATTTCACATCCCTAATTGGGGGTTTGACATAATTTCTCACCAAATTTAAACCTCACCAAACTGTGGGATAATAAAACTTTATACACTGACAACATTGCTTTGGGCTTGAAAGTTAAAGTTGTTAGCTGAAGAAGCCTGAATGGTTCATATATCTTTAACACTTTTTTTCACACAATAACCCTTTGTTCTAGAAGCCAATTGTGCTACTTAATAAATTGTTTAAAATTAAGGTTGTAGACTGTTAGTAAGTGGGTTTACGCCTAATTCCATTTCGTGAAGTCAACTTGTAACGTGAGGTTTGCCCTCATTTATATATTGTAATATGCTTTTATTCCTAGTCGATATGGAATCTCTAACTGGTCCCTAACATAGAGGAATGAACATCTCGAGCATGGGATTAGATATTTATGGGTAGTCTAACAAGAGCCCAATAATGGTGGCATTAATAGCGTAACGAATTTGACTACCATAGGTTTGAATGACTATGTTGTTGTGGAATATAGTAAAATTAGGTATTAGATTAATCTTCTTTGTACAAAAAATACACATAGCATAATATATTTATAATAATGAGAATGTGGACTAAGTCGAAATACAAATGAATATGTAAAAATAACATAATTAACATAGAAACTATGTTTCCCTAATTAACATAAAAAATGCAATTTATCTAACACTCTCCTTCAAGTTGGTGCATATAAATCGTATGTACCAAGTTTGTTACAAATATAATCAATTCTTGGTCCTCGTAAAGACTTAGTGAAAATATCTGCTAGCTGATCATTTGAGTTGACGAACTTAGTCTTGATATCTCCAGATACAATCTTCTCTCAAAGGAAATGACAATCAATCTCAATGTGTTTGTCCTCTTATGAAAGACATGATTCAAACTGATATAATATATGTGCCATTTCAGTGATATCTTCAAATTGTAACTCTTTAAGCAATTGCTTAAGTTAAAGAAGTTAAGAAGTGGTTGAGGTAAGCTCTATATTCTACTTCTGCACTAGATCTTACCACAACACTTTGTTTCTTACTCTTCCAAGAGATCAAGTTACCACTAATGGAGACAAAATACCCAAAAGTAGATCTTCTATCAAAACAAGATCTTGTCCAATCATCATTTGAATAGCGAACAACTTTTGTAAGGTTATTGGAACCATATAACAAACCTTTTCCAGGAGATTATTTAATGTAATCTAATTTATGGATGATTGTATTCCAATTATCTTTACATGGGGAATTGAGAAATTGGTTCACCACACTGATTGCAAAGGAAATGTCAAGACAAGTAGCTGCAAGCTAATTTAATTTCCCAACCAATCTTCTATACTACTCAGGATTTGAACTAGGCTCCCTTGATTTAATAGGAGTTCTGATCTACGATCCATGGGTGTGTTAATAGATTTTGAATTCATCAACCCAATTTTCTCCAAAATATCTAATGCATACTTCCTTTTAGATATAAGAATACCATTGTTGGATTGTGCTACCTCAATACCCAAGAAATATCTGGGTTTGCCAAGATCTTTGGTATGAAAATGGTGGCAAATATGTTGTTTCATCTTGGAGATGTCATCTTGTCATTGCTTCTGAGAACAATGTCATCAATATATATTATCAAATAGACACATCCAACTCTTGAATAACGGTAAAAGATTGAATGATCTGCCCCACCCTGAGTCATACTAAATTGTTGAACAATGCTAATGAATTTTCCAAACCAAGCCCTAGGAGATTGTTTTAGGCCATATAAAGATTTGCAAAGACGATAATATCCAAAAGACTCCCCTGCACAACAAATTCGAGAGGTTGCTCCATTTGAATTTTTTCCTGGAAATCTCCATTTAGGAATATAACGTATACCTTTATAGAGGACAATTGGAAGGTCAAATTCAGTTGTCAGAAGAGACCAAATAGTTGGCATTTGAAGTGATTCATTTGGTGGTTGTTGGGAATGATGTCTTCAACTATAAACTTGAAGTGGTGGTGGAGGAGAATTTGACATTGGATTAGGCACAACGGGAGGATCACAGACAACATGAATATTAACTGTAGTAGACAGAGACACATCTAAAGAAAAATAAGATGACCCGCTAAAGTAAAAAGAAGACTCATTAAAGGTGACATATACTAAAATAAAATAACAGTAACAGAATGAGAGAAACACTTATATCCTTTTTGTGATCAAGTGAATCTGAATAAAAACATATTTGTATGATCCAGGAGATAACTTATCAAGACCAGTACAAAAATTATAAATAAAACATGTAGACTCAAACTTTAATAGGTAAAGGGATGTAGAGGTGCATGAGGAAATAAAATATAATGCAGAATTTTGTTATTTAAAACCGAAGAGGACATGCATATAATAAGATAACGTGTGTAAGAAGAACATAACCCCCAAAGATGTTGAGGAAGCTCACCGTGAATTAAAAGTGTGCCAGTTCTTTCAACAATATGTCCATTCTTGTGCTCAACCACTCTATTTTGCTGAGGTGTATAAGGACATGAAGTTTGATGAAGAATGCCATGAGAAATCATAAAATGTTTAAAAGAATGGAAAAATATTCACGACTATTATCACTTCAAAGTTTGAATAGAAATCAAAAACTGAGTTTTAATTTCATTATAAAAGGATTGAAATATAGAAATTAACTCAATGATTTTTCATTAAAAACAACCAAGTGCATATGGAATAATCATCAATAAAAGTAAGAAAATACTAAAAGCCTAAATTAGACTTAACCGGGCGAGGTCTCCAAATGTCTGAGTGAACTAATGCAAAAGGTGATGAAACATGTTGTAAGACACTATGAGAAAGAAACTATGACTATGTTTTCGTAATTGACATGACTCACAACAAATTAAATAAATTGGACAAGCTGGGAACAAGTTGCTGCAATTTGGCAAAACTGAGATGATCTAATTGAGCATGAAGAAGGGATGGAGACTCCATGTAACACCCCAATTTAGGATTCACGGGTAAGTAAAAGAACGTTCATTACTTAAAAAGAAATACAACTCTGATACCATCACAATATAGTGAAAATTTAAAACTTTATTACATTATCGTGAAATAAAAAAAAACATGCAAAAATAATTAATCCAATTATAACTTGAAATAACATACTAAAACTTCTCAGCATAATTTATTTAATCAAATAACAATGTTTTGAAAACCTTGATAATAATTCCCTACTCATCTCGCTCTACACAACATCAACATCATCAATAATATCCTTTGTAACATCATTTGTTCCTATATAGTTACGATCATCGTTGGTCGAAACCACAACCACAAATGTAAGGGTGAGCTAACAGAATCAATATCAAAATCAACATATAATAATACAATTATTAATTAAAGTCTAAGCTCATAACACCCCTACTTAAATCAAATTCACAACACAATACATTAATGCCAATCTATACTTTAATCCAGAGAAACCATGCCACTACCACCAATCATTATTACCATATGTTATCTTCCGTACTCCAGCATCTGTTCAACAAAGCATGGTCTGTTCACCAAAATAGGACTTTCCTGTTCACCAAAACAGGGCTTACTGACCAAAGTAGGACTTTCCTGTTCACCAAAACAGGACCTACTCACCAAAGCAACACTTTGTTGTTCACCAAAATAGGGTTTACTCACCAAAGGAGGACTTTCTCGCATCATTCAACAGTTAGTATGTAAGAAGACATAGGATCCACAATTCCAACACCGTCAACACAACAACATGGTTTATCACACAAACAACATGGAAAGACACCTCAACAAGCTCAGCGCTCAATCACAACAACTTGGCAATCGCACCGACCACTCAGAAAACATTTAAAACAACTTGGCCTCACACATACCAACTCGGCCAAGTGCTTAAAAAGCTCAGCCAACACTACCAACATCTTGGCCAGGTTCTTAAACCCCATGCAACCTAAACCCCACACAAAAATGAGTTCCAGAACATCGAAATCAAGGTCCCAAACAGCTCGGACAGCCGGCTTGGCCAAACCACAAACAACTTTAATGAACATTGGGGTTGCCTAAAGTCCAAGGGAAAGACACCATCCTCGTGGTGGTGGATAGACTCACGAAATATGCTCACTTTTTGGCACTTGCTCACCCCTTTACAGCAACACAAGTTGCTCAATTGTTCATTAAAGAAATAGTAAGACTTCATGGGTTTCCCTCTACATTTGTATCCGATAGAGACAATATTTTCTTAAGCAATTTTTAGAAAGAATTGTTTAAACAGGCTGGTACAAAACTCAGGTTCAACACTGCATATCATCACTTATTTACATTTCATGACTGGTACACATCCTAGGAAGTGGCCCCAATGGTTGTCTTGGGCAGAATTATGGTTTAATACTAAGATGTCCCCGTTTAAGGCTCTCTATGGCTGTGACCCTCTTTTGTTGCTCAAAGGTTCTACTCTCCCATCAAAAGTGCAAAGTGTGAATCAATTACAACAAGAACAAAATGAGATATTGAGGGAGATGAAGGAAAATTTATGCAAAGCCCAGGAACAAAACAAGAAACAGGCTAATAAACATCAGAGGGATGTGGAGTTTCAAGTGGGTGATTGGGTGTATCTTAAGTTGCAACCCTATCATCTGAAATCGCTGGCTAACAAACCTAATGAGAAGCTTAGACCTAGATTTTACGGTCCTTATATAGTCCAGGAACGCATAGGACTTGTAGCTTATAAGTTGGACCTCCCTGCCCACAGCAGAATTCACCCGGTCTTTCATGTCTCGCTCCTTAAGCGCGTTGTCCAACCAACCACTCCAGTTCAACCTCTTCCACCTACACTTACAAGAGAATTGATGTTAGAGGTCTATCTAGAGGAGTTGCTAGATGTTTGCATGTCTCCAACGGGAGATTTGGAAGTTTTACTTTAATGGCAACGCTTACCATCAATTGAAAACAGTTGGGAATCTGCAACAGCCATCGATACAGAGTTTCTTGCTTTTCATATTGAGGACAAGGTGAAACTTCATGGAGGGGGTATTGACAGGTACAAAGGAAATGTTTATAGCAGAAGAAAAACTGTATGAGTTAGTTTATTGTATGACAAACAATTTTAATTGTCTGTAAGGAAGTTATTTGTCTGTAGTAAGTTACATCTGACTTGTATAAAGTTAGAATGGACAGTTTTAGCAGTTTCTGTCATTATTTTGTAACTTGTGAAGGTTAGGGAGGGAGAGTCTGGTTCTCTCTAATAACCAGAAAGTAGTATGTTGTTTTGGGTCCCCTCTTTAGAGGAAATTCAGTGAATGCTATATAATATTTTACAGTTTAGCCAAGTTGATTCATATAAGTCTGCCATACCTATCAAATAACAATCACAATTTTATCACTAGTAAAGTGAGAACTATTTAATGCACGACACATGATATGCATGTGTATCACGTGTTACTCAATTAACTGTTTGTGATATATATTGTATTAACCAAACTTGGTTTGGATATCTCTCACCAAAGTTGTTTTGGACACAGGCGTTTTTAATACGAAGCCAACTAATAGTAATTCATGAATACATCTTAGCCTACATATTTCAAGTACTTATGACATATATGATATTTAAATTTTTCATAGTTTCAAAGAAATAGTTTGTGTTGTCAGCTTCTTGCTCAAATGGGAAACTAATAAATATAATTTTTCATTAATATGTGGAAAGCATTTTATTTAGGAGAGTCTCAAGCAGATCGGAGCATTGGAGAGAAGAAACCTAAATTATCAGGGGAAGACAAGCCTTCTATCACAGAGTTGAGTGGATACAGTTTTAAAAGAGAGGAATTTGATGTTGAATACGACAATGATGCTGAGCTAGTGTTGGCTGATATGGAATTTAAGAACACTGATACTGAAGCTGAACATCAAATGAAACTACATGTGCTTCATATCTATTCTAAAAGGTACGTAGTACCTACTGTTTTTTGACAAAGAAAGAAAGCTTCTCACCTTTGAATAAAGCAAAACCATGTAGGTTTTATTAAATTATTCTTATATTGTCCCATTGTCTTTGAAATTCTCTTAGAAGAAATTATAATTTTCAATTGTATGTAATTGTTAAATTATTCCTATATTTTTACTTTTTTTTTCTATCAGAATAAAACTATTTGTTTATAAAAAGGATCGTGACATTATGTTGTTTGTTCAAATTTGAAGATTGTTAAGCATCCAAAACTATGTCTAATCTTTACCTCAAGATTACCTAATCATGAGTTGAATAATGCATCTTCATTAGTTTCTACACTTGAGATTGAAACTGTAAAATAATTCTAGAGGACAAGATCCCTCTCACTCTATATATAAGAAAGTTCTGATACAAAAGTATATGGAAGATTACGGGTCTGCCCCTAGACACCTAGGTGCAGACCTAGGTACTAACACCATAGATACTAGACACTACCCTTAAGTAGGCTTAATGTTGATACATAGGGTAATTATTCTAACATCTACTTTATCTATTTCTTGCTTAGGTGTTCGTTTTTAGGAATATGAATGAAATTTCATCTCACTAAGGAAATTTCTTCAATGCGCTTGAGTATTATTTTCCACTTAGCATATTGCCTGTAACTTTCAATGTGAATTGCAACTAGACCTGAGTCAAAAAATTATGCTCTAATACTTGAATTAAAGCTCTTAGTCTAAAATCCAACATAACAAATCTTAGCTCAATTGGATATCTATGGAAATGTTACGAGAAAAATAGTCAGCAAAAGCAAGAGTTGCCAGAATGCAATTTTCTGCATCAAAATTCAACTTTTACATTATTTTCAATTTAGGTCCTAAATCTCCTAAAAAGGGCAAAAGCTAAGCTAAAGAATGAAAGGTAAAAGAGATGAAAATCGTAAGGGAGTGTAATAAGCCTAGATACGAGAGTATAGATTGGGTTATCACATCTAAAATATTATGGTAGAATAGAATAATTTCATTGCTATGAATACACACGAGATACGAAATATAATAAAAAAAAGTAATGTAATTTGATAAGGGATATTGTTAGATATATTGCATTTTATGTTAATTATGGAAACAACATCTATTGTTAATTAGTAAAACATAGACATTTAATATTATTTGATATTGGTAGATATTGTTGACATTGTTTGTAACAATATCTTTTATTTACCATATTTATGTTTGGTTGCCGTATATACTTGTATCATTCTTCATTGTAAATATATTGTCCAATGTGTATTTTAGACAAAAGATATAATCAAATTGCTATGATTCAACGATATAATTAGATCCCTATGATTTAGGGATATTTTTGTTGCACTTTAATTACAATATGCTATATATGGAACTAATAAAAGGATGATTGCTGAAAATATTGATGGTTTGGTTTAACTGAACTGCTAGGATATGTCTGATACTTTGTGTAGGTTAGATGAGCGGAAGCGAAGAAAGCATTTTGTACTTGAAAGGGAGTTGCTTTATCTTGATCCTTTTGAGAAATCTCTCTTGCCTGAAGAGCTTCAAATATGTCAGCATTACAAGGTCTTCATGCGGTTTCATTCAAAAGAACAACATCAGGATTTTCTAAAAAATATCATTGAAGAACATAGACTGGTCAAAAGAATACAGGATTTACAGGTAACACATTCTTCTACACATTATGATGATGTCACCACCCTTTTTCCAGAGATATTGTAGTCACTTTCTTTACTAGTGTTATATCCCAAAAATGAATTTGAATGAAAGCATTTTTACAACTGTAGATATCCTTTTACATTAATGTATAGTTTTATCCTTCGACAATGGTACATCATTCACATTTGTTTTCAACCTTGGAGTTTTTTGCTCCCCTTGATTCTACGATTTTATCTTTTGCAAAAAGAGAGCACTACTGTTAGGGTTTGGAGAGTTTATGAGAGGAGAAGGAAGAATGAGATGTAACTGTTTTAACAGTTAGGGTAGGCGGGAAATTAACGCTCTTATAAATAGAGCTTCTGTACATTGTATAGGGGATTTTTGGCATTCTTTTGTATAGACAGGAACATTATCCTGTGGAGGGGGATTAGGCTCCCTTGAAGGTGTTACGTGTGTACATTTGGTTGAGATAGCAATACTTGAAACCATTCTTTTTGCCATCAGTATTCTTGTTTGTGTGTGTGAGAATTTGAATTAGATAGGTTTCATTTTCAGAAACCTATCAACTACATTCCCCATTAGTCTCTTCCCTTTCATCTTCTCCTAAGTCTATGGTCTCTCCATCTTCCTTGGTGCACTCCACTTGGAATTGATCGTCCATTAACACGACATGTAGCTGTTTAATTGGATACTGGTGCGTGCGGCTATAGGGCCCACTGCATTTGAAACACAGGCCCTTTTGTTTACATCAAATAACTCTTGATAAGGAGAATGGGTGCTTCCCTATCATATGGCCCACTTCCTCGTTTTTCAACCCCATGCCCATTTAGTCCTACAATGCCATTTGAATTATGGGTCATTCGCCTCACGAACATTGGCATAAATTTCATACCTGCTTGGCTCGAACATGAAAGCATGCCATGGCGATTCTGTCTTGACGTTATCCTGCTTCTAGATGACTTTTTTAACTTCACATCTCTATCCATGTTCATGATACACTTCCCCCGAGTTAAAGGTGTTACCACATTCAAGCTTCGTAGATGAGCTCAAATCCCTTCCTTTAAACCGTGGATGAAATAAGAAAAATGTTGCTCATTGAGGAGTTTTGGAACCTAGGCTACTGAGCACTTGAATCCTTGAACATAGTCATCAATGCTTCTGATTTGGCACAAATTCCTCAAGGATACTACCCTCACACAATCCACCGTAATGTTCTAGAAGCTCACTTTTTAACTAATCCATGTTAAATCCTCATAGTCATTCAATAAGGAGTTAAAAAAATGGATTGTACTACCCTCCGTGCACAACTATGCTAGGTTAATTCTTACAATGTCAATAGTTTCTTGCACTCGGAAATGGATCTCTGCTCATGTAATTCAGCCAACCGGGTCCTCACCTCTATTAATTTCTCAACTGAAATTCAAATTCAATTTGGCACCTTTATTAAAATTTTACATACTGATAATGCTCTTGAATATATGTCTTCCAAATTTTACACCTTCATCAAACATGCTCTCACACACCATAACAAAATAATGTCGCCAAAAGAAAGAATCGACACTTGGTTGAAATTGTCCATACCCTTCTTTACAACAATATTCATCTTCGATTCTGGGGAGATGCCATGCTGACATGTTATTTGATCAATTGCATGCCTTCGTACTTCCTTAATAATCAGGTTCCTCACTCTCTCTTGTATCCAACACAAGATCTTTACTCCATTCCTTTTCGTGTCTTTGGTTGCACATGCTTTGTCCATGACCTTACCCAGGTAAAGATGAATTTTCTACCAAATCTCTCAAGTGTATTTTCCTTGGTTACTTACCCCATTGTACCATCTAGTACCATCTTATTTATCAAACCTAATTTGCCAAACCTAATTTATCAATCAAAAGTACCATCTAGTTCAACCATGGATGCAGGTCACTTTGACTGAACCACGTAAGTTCCCTATGTTCTTGTTATTTTACTTTCGTCCAGGAATTGCTCTTGCGTGTATTTGGGATCCCCAACAACTGGTATCAAGAGCTTAGGGTTTCACTTAAGACAGAGCAATGGTGGAGGAGAGAAAAGTGAAGATTGACAATTTCGGATTGTGGAAGATGCAAATTGAGGATTATTTGTATCAAAGGAAATTGTACCAACCTTTGTCTAAGAATAAACCAGAAAATGTCTCAGGTAGATTGGGAGTTGATAGATCGACAAGCTTTAGGTGTTGTCAGATTAACATTGGCAAAGAATGTTGCTTACAATATTGTCAATGAGAGTATGACGACATATGGTTTGATAAAGGCACTATAAAAAATGTACGAAAAGCCATCGACATCAAACAAGGTATTCTTGATTTGCAGTAATACAAAGATGCGAGAAGGGGATAGTGTTACAGATCATGTGAATGAATTTAATTCCTGGCTTCCAAGATTAGTTTAAGTGGATATTCAATTTGAGGATGAAGTACAAGCCTTATTGTTGCTATCTTTGTTACCTGATAGTTGGTTAGGAACTGTCACGACAGTAGCCAATACATTTGGGAGTACAAAATTAACCTTTGAAGGAATTAGGGATTTAGTCCTTAGTAAGGATGTTCATAGAAGGAATGTTGAAGAATCAACATGTTCCTTTTACAAGCACTGAAAGTAGAGGCAGAAGGCCTGAAAGAGGCAAGGTTCTGGCCGTGGCAGATCAAAGTCCAAGAAGCATGGACAGTCCAAAATCGCAAGGATATTACCTGCTTGAAATGTAAACATAACGGCCATTTTAGAAATCAGTGTACTACTCCTACTGCTAATAAAGAAAAAAGGCATGAAATACAGTTAATGCAGCACATAAAAAATATTGATGATACATTGATTTGTTGTGTTGAGAGCATGTTTGAATCCTGGATCATGGACTTTGGTGTGCCGTTCATGCTTCTACTTGCAAGGACTTGATGAAAAATTTCAAAACCGGAAATTTTGGCAAAGTTTGTCTAGAAAATGGTCAAGCTTTAGACATTGCAAGCATGGGAGATATAAATCTTAGAACTTCTACTGGTATAGTTTGGACATTGAAGGATGTCACATATGTTCCAAGACTCAAGAGAATGTTAATCTTTGTTGGCATGTTGGACGTTTAGGGATATAGAGTGATATTCAGAGATGGTCAATGGAAGGAGGTTTGTTGCTTGAAGTTGGAAGAAATGAACCCTTTACATGGTATAATTAGCTACAGTAGAAGTAAATTCAATTAGTGATGATGTTTGTCACTCTTTGACTCTTTGGCACCAAAGATTTGGTCACATGAGCGAGAAGGATATGAAAGTATTGGTCTCAAAGGGAAGATTCCAGAACTGAAAGAGGTAGAAGTTGGTTTCTGTGAACCATGTGTGTTTGGGAAGCAGAAAAGAGTTACTTTTGCCATGACAGGGAGGATGCCCAAGCTTGAGAAGTTGGAGCTTATTCATACATATGTGTATGGGCCAGAATCAGTCTCATCATTAAGAGGATCACGATACTATTTCACCTTCATTGATGATTCTACTAGGAAGGTATGGGTTTAAGTTGAAAATAGGACTGATTTTATTATTCATAATCATAAAAAGTACATTCTCATATCCTCTATTTGTAACAATCTAATTCTCCTAAGAAGGAAAATAGGAAAACTAGATAAACAAAATAAAATAGAAGATTATATATCTATTTTCTCTAATTAGGAAGATTCTAAAGATATCTTCTCTAATTACAACACTCCCCCTCAAGTTGATAAATGAATATCAATCATTCCCAACTTGCCTACAAGATCTTGAAATCTATCCGGAGGAAGCCCTTTTGTAAAAATATCTGCTATTTGAAGTTCTGAAGGAAAATAAGTTGTAATCACAAAGCCTCTGTCAAGATTATCTTTGACGAAATGTCTGTCAATCTCAATGTGTTTGGTTTTGTCTTGGCAGACTTATTGTCACAATGTAGTTGCACTGGGTTCTCCACTTTGACTTTAAGATCCTCCAAAATGATTTTCATCCAGAGTCCTTCACACATTCCTTGAGCAAGAGCTCGAAATTTAGCTTCTGCACTAGAACGAGATAGTCTATCTTGTTTTATGCTTCTCCATTTTACCAGACTATCTCCAAGAAACACACAATACCTAGAAGTAGATTTTCTGTCAGTAATAGAACCTGCATAGTCAGCATGAGTATATATCTTCATAGTCAATGTGTCTTCCCTTTTGAATAATAGCCCCTTTCCTGGACTTGACTTCAAGTATTGGAGAATTTTGTCAACTGCTTTGCATGTTTCTCTCTCTTGGATCATGCATAAAATAGCTCACAACACTAACTGCATAAGCAATGTCTGGTCTTGTGTGATAGATAAATCAATTTTCCTACCAATCTCTAATATTGGGCCTTCTCTACAGGAGCACTTTCTTCACTTCCAATTATGTGATTTTGTTCTATAGGAACTATTGAGGTTGTCCATCCCAGCTTTCCTGTTTCTTTGAAGAGATCAAGTACATATTTCCTTTGGGAGATGAAAATTCCGTTCTTGGAATAGGCAACCTCTATTCCAAGAAAATATTTGAGTTTTCCTAGGTCTTTCATCTCAAATTGAGCTGCCAATTTATCTTTTAATGCCAATTTTTCTGGTTCATCATCTCCTGCAATAATCATATCATTCACATAGACAAGCAATAGAGTGAGTTTACCTGTAGAAGAGTGCTTTATGAATAGAGTGTGATCTCCTTGGCTTTGTCTGTATCGCAAGGAAACCATGACTTTTGTAAATCTTCAAAACCATGCTCTAGGGGATTACTTAAGCCCATACAATGCTTTCTTCAGGAGGCATACCTTGTTTCTTTAATTTTTCACTTCAAAGCCTAGGGGAATCTCCATGTATACTTCCTCTTCTAGATTTCCATGAAGAAAGACATTCTTCACATCCAACTAGTGTAAGTCCCATCCAAAATGAGCAGCCAAAGCGAGAATAACTCGAACTGTACTCATCTTTGCCACTGGGGCAAATGTCTCC